CTACAGCCTCAGTCCAGGTCTACAGCCTCAGTCCAGGTCTAGAGTCTCAGTCCAGGTCTAGAGTCTCAGTCCAGGTCTAGAGTCTCAGTCCAGGTCTAGAGTCTCAGTCCAGGTCTAGTCTCAGTCCAGGTCTAGAGTCTCAGTCCAGGTCTAAAGTCTCAGTCCAGGTCTAGAGTCTCAGTCCAGGTCTACAGCCTCAGTCCAGGTCTATAGTCTTAGTTGAGGTCTAGAGTCTCAGTCCAGGTCTACAGTCTCAGTCCAGGTCTAGAGTCTCAGTCCAGGTCTAGAGTCTCAGTCCAGGTCTACAGTCTCAGTCCAGGTCTATAGTCTTAGTTGAGGTCTAGAGTCTCAGTCCAGGTCTACAGTCTCAGTCCAGGTCTATAGACTCTGAAGAGAATAAAACTGATCTAAATGGACCCTCTTATGTCCAGCTGAGGTTCTGACCGTATGTGTCCTGTCTTTGGTCTGGTGCAGATCCTGACTGCTCTGGACCGGGACGGGTACTGTCGCAAACACAAACTGAGGCACAAACTGGAGCAGGCCATCAACCTGATGTCTGGGAGCAGCTGAGAGGAGACGGACTCAAGGACTGAAGGACTGGTGGGGGATGGGGGACAGGGAGGAAGGGAGGTGGAGTTTTACTGAACTGCTCTGATTTTGGACCGAACCGAGCCAGGCTGTTGTCTGGACAGGAACCAGTCTGGACCTGTGGACTGGGAACCCAACAGGCTGGCTGACCGGTTCTAACCCAGACCGCCTCCATCCGGTGGAACCTTTTCTAAGATACAGTTCCAGCAGGACTTCAGCGCTGGACGGAACCGTGTCCTGACCAAAACAAAAAGTTCTGTTTGTTCGTTTGGGTTGGACTTTAGGAGTGGATTTAATGTGAGGACGAACCGGGTCAACGTCTCACAGGTCAGGCTGAGGACCAAATGTCCCGACTCCACTGTGAAAGGTCTGTTCTGGTCTGCAGGGTCAGGGTCTAAACACAGACTGGATTTATTAGTTCAGGTGGGGCCGATCCAAGACTTTAAGGCCCTGTTTCTGATGTCATCACATACTTTTGTCCTCACCTTCGTCCTGTTGTCTTATCTGGACGGCTCTGGACTCAGGATCCACCTGGATCAGGATTTGAGGCTTTGAGACGTTCGGTTCCTCCACTTTCAACGAGATTAGAACGTTTTTTAAGCTTTAATGGAATAAAAGGACTGAACCCAGAACTGGAGGACTGGGTCAGGGTTCAGAGTCTTGATCCAGGAGGRTTTGGACCACTGGATCTTGGACTGTTGTCGGGATCCAGATGTTTCTGTTTTGAACCACTCAAAGTTTTTTCTCTGGACAATCAGTTTTTACCACAGCACACTGAGCCCCATGCCTACTGACCGACCAGATCCTGTGTCCATCAACCCTTAGACCCAGAACCTCAAGACCCAGAAACCCAGAACCTCAAGACCCAAACCCAAAAATCCCAAATCCAAAAACCCTTCCCCATCCATTTTTAGTTTCTATTGTTTGGTTCCTCACAGGTCTGTGGGTCTGATGGGTCAGTCCTACTGGTCTTGAGGACTCCTCACAGGTCTGTGGGTCTGATGGGTCGGTCCTGCTGGTCTTGAGGACTCCTCACAGGTCTGTGGGTCTGATGGGTCNGTCCTGCTGGTCTTGAGGACTCCTCACAGGTCTGTGGGTCTGATGGGTCGGTCCTGCTGGTCTTGAGGACTCTTTACTGCCAGACCAATAAAGACTGTGGAACTTAGCAGATCCCGACAGATGAAGTCCAACAGAACTTTGTTTGAAACACATTCCAGCACAGAAGAGTTCTGTAAATATTTCAATCAGAACCTGCAGATGTGGACCAGAACCACCTGGATCCTTCAGTGTGGACTCACATCTCCATGTTACCTGGGCCAAGGGTGGGGGTGGGGGGTACTCTGCAGAACTATAACTCTAGTGCTACGTAAAAACTGGACCAGCAAGCTCCAGAACTGGACCAAATCTGGATGGAGGACTCTGTGGACTCTGAGGACTCTGTGGACTCTGTGGACTCTGGACTCTGTGGACTCTGGACTCTCTGGACTCTGTGGACTCTGGACTCTGAAGACTCTGAGGACTCTGAGGACTCTGTGGACTCTGAAGACTCTGAGGGCTCTGTGGACTCTGGACTCTGTGGACTCTGGACTCTGAAGACTCTGAGGACTCTGTGGACTCTGGACTCTGTGGACTCTGGACTCTGTGGACTCTGGACTCTGGACTCTGTGGACTCTGGACTCTGGACTCTCTGGACTCTGTGGACTCTGGACTCTGTGGACTCTGGACTCGTGGCCATAAAAACTGTAAAGAAAAAAAATGAAGATAAAGTTTAAAAA